GAGGCGCTACAGCGCTCTGTCACTCCACATTAAACAGCGCCAAAACGACTTTATTGTTTGAATACTGCAATACAATGGACAGAATTTGAAATCTGAGACTTTGTTTCATACTAAAAGCACCAAAGCACAATGCTTACTGCGATATATTGGATGGGAAGTGCCCTTCAATGTTCTGTCCATTAACTGAAAACAGACTAGACTAATTGATTCTTGGGATTTAAGAATCGATATCGTTCCGTAAAAATGAGAATCGATTAATATCGAGATATCGATATTTTTTACCCAGCCCTAACGAACACCTGCAGTAGGTCAGGCTCCTCACATCTCCAGATCAGCAGCTTGATGGAGCTCTAAAAGAGCTGAGAGCTGAAATGAGACAGAACTGAGCAGAGCTATCAAGTTCTTAAAAATCAAAGCGAACTTAAAATTGCACTTTCATTTTTGGTGGTGCACTGATTCTCAAGTTTTTGCTTGTGTGTAAATGGTGCACAGTGAGTTGTTAAATGTAAAGCATAGTTATGAGAATATAATGATAATAATTAGAAATATATTATTCAATTTATAAAGTTAATAATAACAATTATAGTTTATAAATATATTAATTTATTAAATGTATACATTAATTTATGTATACAATAATAATATTAAGGTATTTTTTACAAAGTTTATTATAATAACTATAATACTGATTATTGATTTAAGTTTACAACAACAGCAACAACTATAATAATAATACAAATTTAAAACATTATTCAATTTTGTTATTAAATATAAAAATAATGATAATGTTCATATTAATTTATAAAATATATAAATATATTAAATTGTAAAGTTTATAGTAATTTATCATTTAAGTTTATTTAATTTGTAAATAAAATATTTAATATATAAAGTTTAGAATAATAGTAATAATAATAATAGAATTTCAAAGAACAAGTATTTCTTAATTATTTATATTCATAAACATGATAAATATAGTAATTGAAGAATTTTATATTATCAGAAATATACTATAACATTTATTATAATAATAACAATAATAATCATAATTTATGATTTTAATTTATTATGTTTATAATTATAATAATATAATGCCAATTTAAAACATAATTATTAATAGTGATAATAATTTAATTAATTTATCAAATTAATAATGATAATGCAAATTTAAAATATAATGATTTAAATAATTAATAATGATAGTAATTTATAATTAATTTATAAAATTATTATTAATAATAATACTTTGTTAATCATTTATATTTATAAAGTTGATAAATATATTAATTTATGAAGTTTTTAATAATAATGTTCATTATTTAAATTTTATAACATGTATAAATGTATTTTATTTGTAAAGTTTTGTATAGTAATAATAATAATGTATAAAATGTTTAATAATAATTGTATTCTTAATAATAATTATACTAGTACTACAACTACTACTACTACTACTACTACTAATAATAATAATAAAAATAATAAGGAATTATTATTAATAACAATAATACATTATTAATAGTAATTATTATTATTAGTTTGCTAGTAATAATGAATTGATTCCAAACCTGAACCCTTCTGTGGGTCTAAGTGGTGCTAATGCTGGCAGAAAGGCTCCTGATCTGCAGCCTGTGTTTTGTTGAAGCGTGTTAAAGACTGTAATCAGATTGTCCCGTTCTCTGTGAGAACCTCCTTCTGATCCTCCAGAGAGCGTCTGACCCTTCTCTCCTGCCTTAATATGCTAAAGCCATAGTGGATCGTCCTCAAACACACAAATCTACAATTAGGCTTTCAGAGCGCGGCGGGAGCGGATCTTACGAGCGAATGATGCTCGACTCAATCAGAGCAGATCATCAAACGCTGGAATCAAACAATAATTACTTACTGTTTTAGGACGCATTATAGTGCTCGGTGAATGATTGGAGATTGAGACGGACTCGAGTCATCAGGAGCCGCAGCGATTGTTCTGTCATTCAGAAACACCCATGGCTTCATCCTTACATTAGCTGATCTCTTCTTGCGTTTATGAGCATGCACAGCTTAAAGCCATAGTGGATCGTCCTCAAACGCACAAATCTACAATTAGGCTTTCAGAGCGCGGCGGGAGCAGATATTACGAGCGAATTATGCTCGACTCAATCAGAGCAGATCATCAAACGCTGGAATCAAACAATAATTACTTACTGTTTTAGGACGCATTATAGTGCTCGGTGAATGATTGGAGATTGAGACGGACTCGAGTCATCAGGAGCCGCAGCGATTGTTCTGTCATTCAGAAACACCCATGGCTTCATCCTTACATTAGCTGATCTCTTCTTGCGTTTATGAGCATGCACAGCTTTATTAAAGATCACTGTGGTGCAGCATGCATTCACACTGATGCATTTGACAGATGCTTTTATCCCAAGTGACTTGCATTGAATTAAAGCTGTGCATTTGATCAGTTCAATCCCTGAGAATCGAAGCTGTGACTGCTCCAGCTTCAGGAAGCCTAATGCTGTGGCACTTTGATTAAACTAGTGATACATTGAAATAATTTTTTTCCTGAAACACCAAAACCGAAATTAGCTGAAATCCAAATCCAAAAATAGTGTGTTTAATAATGGATTAATCAATCAAATAATAATGTATAATCAACTAAATAAATAAATATTTTAATATATACCGAATAATTATTAAATGATCTAATGAGTTCATATTAAATAATTATAATATTTTGATTTAATAATCAACACTCAAATAAAAGCTGAGTTGTACATAAACATTTAATTTGCATATAAGGCTGTTTTTATAGAAACTTTTTAATGATATAAATGTTTTTACTACATTTTTTAAATTTAATTTATAACAATAATAGATTAGTTCATAGTAGTAATGATTTAATATGACCTTAATATTAATTATTTAATTATAAATAATCCTAACAATTTAAATATTATTAATTAAATTATAATAATGCAACTTATAAATCAACACTCAAATAAACATTGAGTTGTATATGTTTTTAAATAAACTTTTTTATGATATAAATGTTTCTAAAAAAAAATCATATATTAAATATGGAAGTATTTAAGAAATAAGAAACGTATAATGAATATAAATGTAGTGAACATTCATTTATTTCATATTGAAAGTAACAATGCAATGCACTTGCACTCATACACCATAGATTTTAAATATATTTGTTTATATCTTGGTGCATTAAAATGCAGTTCGAATAAAAACAAGAAATCAAGAAGGTTAATCCAGCGCTAGTGTCCACGTTTACCTGTTTTATTTTCTTTTATAATATTTTTTCATGACATAGACACTGAAACAGTAAAAACGCATCACTGGAGAAGCATTAATTAAACGTCACTGTTTAAGTCCTGAAACAGTAAAAACTGATTTTCAGCTGAAAGTTTTTGGTTTGTGGGATTTGTAGCTGGTCTTTAGCGGATGGACACGTGTTTTATTCCGCAGGCGCTGATGCTCGGTGTGTTTGCGAGTGTTGTAAACGCTCATGAAGGGCCTGTGTATGGTGTGTTTGAGTGCGACCCTTCACACATGCGGCGCTCACACAGAGACGTGTGGAATTTGAGCGGCTCCTGCTAAAGATAAAGCTGGAGCCGCGCCGCCGCCGAGTGAAACATACACACACACTCACACTCTCTCTCACACACACACACACACACACACTTAAAACCAATCATTGTTATGCTTTGGCCCCTTTTGGAACTGAAGCAGAAATACACAAAATAGCTGCTGTTTTGTGTCTTGGGATGGAAATATCTTTAATGGAAAATATTATGGGAAATATTGTCATTTTCAGCTGGATAATCTGGTAAAAAAAAGTGTTTTCTTAAAATTTGAATGAAAAATTATAAAAGATGTTAGGCTATATAATAATTTTTATCCAGTAATTTATGAATGGCTGAAAAAAAAGTACATAATTTAACAAAAAATACCATAATTTTTCATCATGAAAATAAAAGGTTGGATTTGGTAAAATTTTTATTTATTTTTATTTATTTAAACCAAGGCTGCATCTATTTGATCAAAACCACAGTAAAAATTATGAAATATTACAATTTCAAACGGCTGTTTTCTATGTGAATCTCTGTTAAACTGTAATTTATTTCTGTGATGCGCAGCTGTATTTTCAGCATCATTACTCCAGTCTTCAGTGTCACATGATCTTCAGAAATCAGTATAATATGCTGATTTGCTGCTCAACAAACATTTCTGATTATTATCAATGTTGAAAACAGTTGTGCTGCACAATATGTTTGTAGAAACTGTGATACATTTTATTTTTCAGGATTCACAGATGAACAGAAAGTTCAAAAGAACAGCATTTATCTGAAATAGAAATCTTTTGTAACATTATAAATGTCTTTACCGACACTTTTGATCAATTTAATGTGTGCTTGATAAATAAAAGTGTTAAGTTCAGATGTAAAATTTA